GACTTACTACTTACTTTTACCGTTTCTTCGTTTTTTGTTTGTTACTTCGGTTAGTTTATTGTATGTATATATTCGCTCTCTCTCTCTCTCTCTCTCTCTCTCTCTCTGAAGTCCCAGCATGTTTTTTACATTAGTCGCTGTGACCGCAAGTCAAACCGCGGCTCTTCGATGTGTCTTCTTGCTTTAATCGTTTTTCTCTCAATTCTTATTCCTCCTGTCGCTCGCACGGGAGACGACGCTTTCGTTGTCGACGGCGCTGTGTAACTCTAAAATACTAAAACGCCGTTGCGCGCCTCTTTTTCCGGCTATTTTCGAATTATTTTCCTCCGCGTCTTTCTTTTTTCGCATCTCCGTGTTAATATTGGTAGTCGAAACAAAAAACATGGAAGCTGCGCTCTTCGCTTTCTTTTTCGCTTCTCTCCCCTTTCAGTGCCCGCACGAGATGCGAAGGCGGTATCTCAAATGTCGAGGTAAAGCGGTACAACTAAAAGTGTTCCACACGACGCAAGTATTCCAAATCCATTCGATGCTGCGATGCCGCGTTGTGCTGCCTAGCGGCTGCATGAGCACCGCACGCTCCTCGCGATTTGCTCACTCTCGCGCACGCACACTCTCACCTCTGCCGGCAATCCCCTTCTACGTGCCGCCCTCTGTGTTCCTCCTCCTCCTCCCCTCCACGCTCCTGCATGCGCCACGCACTCCTCTTTGCACGCCGCTGCGTTTGTGGCGGACCGACAGCACCAGTCTAATTGTGCTCTCCCGCCTTTTCTGTGCAGTTTCAAAGGGACAACGCAGCCGTTGTACACACTCCTGTGCTTTCTCCGCCTTGCACACGAACTCCCCCTCTTCTCGTAACCGGGTTCTTTCTCTTTTCCCGTGAAGCCCCCGACATCCAGCTTATGCTCCGCGCCGCACCGATGTCGTCTTCGCACAGCCGGCGGGCGGTGCTGCGGCGGTGCTCGTGCGCGTCCCTGATGCATCTGGTGCTTCTGCTCGTCTGCTGCGTACTTCTGCTGCAGCTGCACACAACAGTGGTGGCCACTCCCGTCTGCACGAAGTGGTGCCTCGACTGCCGCGAATATAAGAAGTCGTCCTACTGCATTCAGTGCATCAACCGCAGCTACGTGACGGACTACAAAACACATCAGTGCAACGTACGGCCGGCAGTCGTGCCATGTAAGGTGCCGCATTGCGAAGTATGCGTGTTGAATGAACCGAAGTATTGCTACATGTGCGAGAACGGATATCAGCAGAAAGATAAGGACTTGCAGTGCCGCCCTTTCGCCACCACAGCGCCGGAGCCGACCCCGAACCCAAACCCGGCTCCAGCGCCAATACCGTCTCCGGATACAATGCCGGATCCACAGCCGAACCCTCCGACCACCACAGCCACCACCACGGCGCTGTGCAAGGTGCTGTGGTGCTCGCGGTGCGACCCCAACGACGGCACCGTGTGTGCGCAGTGCTACGACGGCTTCACGTGGAAGACGTCGCACAAGTGCGAGCCCACGGCGTCCTGCTACGTGGAGGGCTGCCTCGAGTGCGACCCCATGGACAGCAGCGTTTGTCTGTCGTGTCGCGTCGGGTACACCGAGTCCTCGAGTTTCTGTCGCAATAACGCCTTGACGAATGCTGTGTCGGCGCCGCGCCGGTCGTGTGCGAGCGCCGCCGCGCTCCTGTCTGCTCTCAGCCTCCTCATTCTTCTTCTATAGACGTTCTGTGCTGTTGCTCATTTCGTCGTGCGCACACGCCCTGCCGTGTCACCGCGTTGCCAAACGAATGCTGTGCTTTCGAGTGTAGTTGCGGGAGACGCGTTGGACAGACAGGGCTTTCTGTTATTAATAATATAAAGGATTGAGGTAGTCTGCGCTGCAGTAGCGCCGGCAAGCAGCGAAGTCGGTCTCTCTTTCTCTCCCCTCCCCTCCCCCTCCTCTTTTTTAGATTTTCTTCTCTTTTATTGGTGATGTGCTTTGCTCCGTCTTGCCTCCCCTTAACACGATGTAGGGTAGGTGGCAGGCGGGAAGGTGGGAAACAGTCCGCATGGCCGTGCTCATCGAGAGCCGGCTGCGTTGCGGGATTCCCGCTTTCTGTGACTGTGTGTGTGTGGGTGTGTTCTTGATTCTCATGTATGTGTTTTTCATCGCACGTGCATATTTATTTTCCCCTTTTTCTTTATGTTTTCTATTTTCTCTTCTCTTGGCGAGATGCGACATTTGAGGCACAAAAGAGTCTCAAATGCTTCCTCGCCGCTTCTCTCCTTAGCGGTTCTGCATTTCACACCGCGTGGGGTCTCTAATTTTGCTCTGCCCTTTTGTTGCCTGTATTTTTCATGTTGTCTCTGTGGATGTGTTTGTTTTCTGCTCCTTGTGAGCCATTGTCGTGTTGGTGTTTAACAATGAAACTGCCATGTGCAGTTGATTGTATTGTATGTATATATCCTTGCCTCTCGTGTGATCATCCTTTGCCCTCCGTTATCGCTGTGCGTGTGTTGTTGGTGTTGCTGTTGTTTTGGCCCTGTTGTGTCGCGTCCGTTCACATTCGTATTTTTATTTTTCCTTGTCTTCTCTTGTCGCTGATTTCAGTTCCTTTTTCTTCCACGGATGCACGCGCGGCAACTGTGCACCGGCCTCTCGCCGTTGCGATGGTATTAGTACCATTTGTGTTGCTGTCATCCCCATCTTTCCCACCCACCCCCTTTCCGCCCCAGCCCCTTCTCTTCCCTCTCCCCACCCGTCTGCTCATTGGAGCTGCCGTGTTCATCTCGGTCGCTGTCACAAAAAATGGTCAGCTCAAACGGACGAAGAGGAGAGATAGCAAAGAAAAGCACCATCAGTCAACTCCATCATATTATTGTTTTGTTTCAGCCGGGCATTAATAACTCGAAAAGCAATGAGTGGGTTACATCAACAGTATTCGGTTCCTTAAAGAGTGCGCATCTGTGCAGATGTGTGTATGGGCCTCCTGTCTCCCATGGGCAATCACCGGTGTTCTCATACATGATGCGTCACCGCACACGTTGCTCCCCCCCCCCTTCTTCCTCTTCCTCCTCCATCGCCTGTCGCTGCGACACACCGATGGTGATTAATAGCAGTATTCATAGTAATGATCATGACAATACGTACTTCTGTATTCCTCTCTTTGTTATCCGTTTGTATGTCCACTCTTTTTGTGTTCTTACGTCCCTTTCCTTTCATTCTCTCTGCGTTGTTGTCGTTGCTGCTCGCGTTTAACCTCCACAACTTTTCTGGCGGTGAAGTTCCACTACGCTCCGCCACCGGCCGCTAAAGAAAAGGAAATACTTTTAGTATTAGTATTGCCTTTTCTGAGCTCAGCGATTTTTTCTTCGTCTAATTTTTCAGCTGCCAACTCGCGCAGTCGATAATCGTTAAAAAGGGGAAAAAAATACAGTTGTGTACGTAGCCTCAACACTAACTGCCGTTGTGAATCGGGTAATATACATTGTAACCTGTAAGAAACGGAGGAAAACATGTCCGCCGGCGCCTCCGCGTTCGCAGGATACGCATACTACAGCACAGATGGCGACGGCATCGTGTACGCCTTCACGAACTCCACCGCGCCCACGACCCTCGGCACGCCGGTGGTCGTCGTGAACAGTGTGTCGAAGGCCGCGCATTTCTTTCAGTTCTTATTTCTTGTCGCAGGCGGCGCGCTCACCCTTGTCCTGCTCATCTTAGTGGGTATCACGTTCTGCTGCCGGCGTCGTGTGGCGTCGCTGGAAGGGAAGTACTGGCGGCTGCAGCACGCCTACGCGGAGGTGAACAACGCCATTGTGCAGGAAATTTTGCATCGCACCCCACGCCAAACGGCAGTGAAGCGGCAGAGCAGCTCGAACAACATGCCTCAGCACCAGCACCAGCAGCCTATGCAACGCAATGCCAGCACATATAGCATGCGCTCTCAGCACCAGCAGCAGCAGCAACCACAGCAGCAGCAGCAGCAGCCTATGCAACGCAATGCCAGCACATATAGCGTGCGCTCTCAGCACCAGCAGCAGCAGCAACCACAGGCGCAACAGCAGCAACAGCAACCTGTACCGATGGTGTCCCCTTACGGCTATCCGCAGGCCAACGTTCCATGGTCGCTGACCTCCGACCCGGTTGGTGTGTACCCACCTCCTCAGGTGGCCTCACAACCCCTCTTCCCTTCTGTGCCGACGACGAACGCGAACTCCTACGACTACAACACAATGTACAATGCTGCCCCGCCTATCCATCCAATGCAGGCCTTCTCATCCCCGCAACCAATCATGTCGCCTTCGACGACGCAGCAGCAATCGTTGTCGTCGCAGCGGCAGATGGATGCCTCAGTAACGTCGCCTTCTGCGTCCTCCGAAGGACTGCGCCGTCGTGAGTCGCGGGTGCGCTTCGTCAACACCAACTAATTCTCTCTACTTTCCTATCTATCTCGGGTAATTCACGGCGCACCTTGTCCTTTTTGCTGGCACATGAATACTCTTTTGGCTGTGTATATGCTGTGGTGTTGATGTGTTTTTGTTCATCTGATTCCCAGAACTAACAGCTTGTATCTTTTATTATTATTGTTATTATTATACTTCTTCGCTGACTCCGTTCTCTTCCTTTTTCTTTGTGTCGTGAGAACTCCCTTCACGTTTGGGCGCGCGTAGAGGCAGCGCTATGAAGGCCTTTCACACCGAAGCCGTCCTTGTCGTGGTGGTTTTTGGTGTAAGGGCGGTTCATCAAAGGGAAAAAGGGCAAAATAATACGCCTCCTCATATTACTCCTTCCATTTTGTTTTCCCTGTTTTCTCTCCATTTCTTCTCCTTCTGTGCTGAGGCAGTGTTTCACCCCCCTCAGCCGACCCCATGTGCATTTACGAGGCAGCGATAGCGGCAATAAGAAGAAAGAGTGCCGCTTTCGCAGATTTGAAGAAAATACATGCTCTCTTTTTTTTTTGATTTCGCCTTTATGTTTGTTTTCTTTGTCTTGCTTTTTTCTATATCTTCTCTAGCTCCTCCAGTCTCTGTGCGTTTGTGGCTTCTGGCGTTGATGTCGTCCTCTTCGTCGCCAGAAGGTGCGGCCGGCTCCCAAGTTGAAGCGCCGGAGGGGAAGAGGGGGGAAGGGGGGAGGACGACACAACAGCGACACTTGAAGGTTTTTGTGTTTATGTAAATAGAAGTTCGTATGTGCGGTGATGGTGATTCCACGGCTGTCATGAATAACGCCGTTGCAGGGAAAAGGTTGGATCCCCCACCCCACCCCCTCAACGTTTGACCGCCATTGATGGCGATGAAGTAGAACAGATTATTATTTCTTTCCTTTCGAAGCCTTTCTTTTGTTTTCTTTCTTTCATTCAGTGTGTGATACAGCGGCTGATCGTCAGCAACCTCTTTCTCTCTCTCTTTCTCTCTTGCATCAACTAGAATTGAATAAAAAGGAAAGGATAATTGAAGAGGTGCACGCGTCACGAAGAGGCAGGATTTTTTCTGTGGCCGGCACACGCCCACACACTTCTGCGTTGGAGTGTACTTCACGGCAAGTCGTGGAGTCACACTCGTGTGCCATCGCACGCCGTCCCCGAGCATTCTTCCCCAAATAACATTACCGAGAAGCCCAGCTTAGTCGCCGACGTATCGGGTCGTCCTCTGAGCTGGCTTGGGTGTGTGTGTGTGTCTGTGTGTTGTGGGGAGGGGGGGAAGGGGGAAGGGGGAAGGGGGAAGGGACATGGCCCGACCGAAGTTGCTTCCGTGTAGTGGTATTTCGAGGTACTCCGCTTTCACCCTCCTTTCGGTCCGCTCCTTCTCTTTCTCTTGTGTTTGTGTGTGTTTCCTTTTTTCATCTCATGGCTCGCACTCTCGCTCGGCTTTGCAGGATTCGCCGCTCCATCTCCACCAGCTCACTATCAAAAAGATTATTTTTTAATCCTCGTTTAAACCCCGCCAGAGACCGCGTCGTCAATTTCTTCAGAGGTTTGGTTTTGCTGCCACTCTTCTTCTTCTAAGTCACATCAACAACAATACAGAAAGAAACACATCTATTCCTACCGCTCGTCACGATGGATCCGGTTGCCGGTGATGCCGCTGCGGCGTTCGCCCGCCACGCGCAGGCCAACCCTGGCGCGCAGGAAATCTACGTAGAGCTCGTCTCCCTCACCTACAGCGGGGCAGTGCCGACCCCGGCCCCGGCCTGCACCGACCAGACCCCGGACGAGCAGTACCGCCAGGCCATCGCCCAGAGGCAGGAGGCGCTGAAACAGAAGGAGGAGGCCCGTCAGCATCAGCTGGACGAGAGCAAGGAGGCCGCCCGCCACCGCACCTCCGCCGCGGTGGAGAAGAACGAGTCTATGAAGGATCAACTCGCCGCCAGTGCCAGCGAGGTGTACGCCAACTTAAGAAGCGCCGTGTCGCAGGCGGCCATGTCGCTCGAGAAGGGCGCCAGCGACGTCTCGCTGCGCACGGAGGCACAGGTGCGGCAGCTCGAGTACCAGCACAACTGCGAGAGCTTCCGCCAAAACTTCCCCGATCTGGCGCAGGCCGGCGAGGTGCTGCTGGCCGACTACGCGTGCAGTGCGATGCACGGTGGGTTAAAGGTCAGTGGACACCTCCAGATCACCCGCCACTATCTCTGCTTTTTTGCGGAGACGTCGTCAGCGATTGCCAAGGCGACGGAAACTGTCATGGAGGCCTTTGCGTCGGCTCGGCAGGCGGCCACGGCGGCAGCCACGGGGAAGCCGATTGCGGAGCACAACGCGTCTGCCCAGCCGCAGCTACGCATGGTTGGCATTAAGCAGGTCATCCCTCTTTCTCAAGTTGCCTGCGTTCTGCCCTCGGTGGTGCTCGACACGGTCGGCAACCTGCCGCCGTTTTTCCTGCCCCTGCCCGCCGAGACGGTTCAGGCCACTGCCCTGCAGGTGTACGTGACAAGCGAGAACAGGCTCTTCCAGTTTCTGTGCTTCGACTCCCTCATCTCGCGTGCGTCGGGCAAGCTGTCAGACTCGGTGAAGGGGACGGCGCTCGACCGCGCTTTCAACTACCTCGACCACGCCTGGCGAGAGTCGGTCGAGGTGCCGCTGAAGGATGTGGAGTACGCGTAAAGCAGCCGCGGCATCAAGTTGGGGGGCGGGGGAGGAGGGAGAGGAACGACCACCGCGATAACCCTATCCCCGCATCCGGAGGCGCGATGCCGTGCGGTGGGGCGTCGTTCTTCGCAGCACCGTGGTAGGATCCGCCTACCTACGAAAGGGAGGAGAGGGGTGCCCATCGGAGCAGGCGAGAAACACTCAACCGTCCAAAGGAAAAACAAAATAAAAACCCAGAAATATATATCAAGAGAAGTGCACAACAATAAAAACGACGTGGTATGAACCGCCTTCTCTCGCCCTCTGCGCGCATACACACACCTCGCTTCGTAACTCTATTTACCTATACCTGACTATACCGCCGTCTTGGGATATACCCGGTCACACGAACCTCCCCTCGTTGCTGTTACTTTTTTTTTCTCTGTTTTCTACCGTGTTTTGTTTCTCTTTGTTTCTTTCATCTGCGTCTTTGTCGTCGCGCTTTCTCACCTGATGGCTCTTTCGCCATCTCGGCCCCCTTCCCTCTCTCTCTCTCTCTACCAAAGAAAAAAGCAAAGAAAAGAAGACGGCGCACGTCTCGACGCACCGCGACGGTGCTTCGGTGCCGCCTTCGCCCTCACACGTCCACGAGCACCCTCAGCCACTTCTGTCGCTCTTCTCTTCTTCATCTTCTTGTTTTTGTTTTCCGGATACGCGGTTAGTCATTTTTTGGTATATTTTATTGTAACTGTTGTGGTAGTGGACGCTGATTGTCCTCTCCGTAGCGCGATACTCTCCACAGTGCAGGGCGAAAGCGGATGAGACTGAAAGGGAGAGAGAGAGAAAGCGCGGCACTACAGCAGCAACTATAACACCGGCAAACAACCAACCTTGAGCTCGTGCGTAGGCGGAGGGGGTGGGAGAATGGAAAAAGAGCGGAGGGAAAAATAAAGTCGTGTCTTCGCCACGAAAGCTACAATCGGTATAGCGCCCCAACACGCATGCGTTGTGCTTCTATATCTTTTAAGTGCTTTCTAATTATTATTTACTTGGACGTCTCGCATTCAACCTCCGTCACGCTTCTCATCGAGCTCACCGTTTTGATTATCTCCTTTTCTTTTGATGTTGTTATTCTACTTTTTTTTTGCTTCGATATTTTACTGATACGTTGTTCTTGTTTCGTTTCCGTCTTGACTTCGATCTACGGCATTTTTTTCCTCTTCTTTGTTTTGTCTTTCTCTCTCTCTCTCTTGAGTTTGCTTCTTTTACTCGCGCGTGCAGTGATTCTCAAAAGCGACGACAAGCAAAGGAAGAAAGGAAGAAGAACCTAAAAGCCAGAAACGCCGCGTGTCGTCCGTCATTTGCAGAGTCATTCTCGTGAAATCGCTCGAAGCTCTCTAGCTGTGTGTGTGTGTGTGTGACGATGTTACAATGCATAATAAACTGCGATCTGCACTACTGTGGGTCTTCCGTTTATATCTGCACATGATTGTTGTCGTTTTATGCATGGACTGCTGCCCAACCTCTAGCACCAATGCGCGAGAAGGAGCTGAGTTTCCTGTCATGGTTACGTCCGTCGCGCTCCACGTTGCGAAGATGCTCGCGTGTACTTCCCCTTCGTTCTCCTCTTTCATTCCCCTCGTTGTTGTTGTGATTGTTGGTTGTTTCTGGACTTTCTTCTCGTGTGTCGGGACACGTTATTATCGTCAATTTTTTTTTGTTTCTCCCTTGTTTGTTTGGTTGTCTTGGCGCAGTCAGAAACGGAGTGCGGCAGCATCGCCGTGCCTTCACACTACCAGAGGGAAGCGACATGCATGCGAGACGACTCGACCCTCTTCATTTCACAAGCGGCATAGCTACTACCCCTTCCCCCTCCCCCCTCCCCCGTCTTGTGTGTAAGTGCGGTCGGTGCTGTTGTCGCTCGTGTCACTCTGCTGGTGTCGGCATCCTCGAGGACGACGACGACGACGACGAGGTCCACCACCATGACCATCCTCTCCTCCTGCTGCCCTGTTGTGGGGCGCAGACGAGGTCACGCCTTCATCGACTCTCTAATAGGAAAAGCTCGATGTGCATCTACACAACATCACGGCCCACCCCCGTCCCTGCCCCTGCGATCGACACGCGCGAGGCACCACCGTCACGACCGTGCGATTTCCGCAACGCCAATGAAGCTGTATGGGAATCGTGGTTCCTTCTCCGCTGCATCGCCCTCGCCCGATCGCGAGCTCCGACGCCGCCGTTTACAGGACGCACTCCACCGCGTCACCGCTTTCCGACAGTGGTGTACGACTCAGCAGCAGCAATGCACCTCCCCCGCGCGTCGAACTGTGTCAGCGAAGACCGTCTCAGCCGCTACGCTAGCGGATGTAGCGGACACACATCTCGACAGTGCACAATCGCTGGCGTCCTCGTCGTTGTCGAACGCGGCCGACCCTTCCACGCCCCTTCCTGCCTCTTCGCACTTGAAAGCGCCGATTCCCGCGATGGAGCGGCGGCTGCTGACACACTACGCCGGCCTCTTGTACGAAGTGCTTCAGGCTGCTGTTCAGGTGGCCACCTCGGACTTCGCCTTTTTCTACGCGTCTGCCGTGGCCGCCGCCCTCTCGCCGGCGTCTCCGTCAAGCAACGGCGCGTTGACGAGCTTTTGTGGTATTCCACGCTCCACCGTGTGGGAGAGTGCGGAGCCGCAGCCCGGCGCTCGAGGCAGCCGCGACAGCGATGGGGTGGGGCAGGCGGAGCGGCGACTCGCTTACTGGGCCGGGCAGTGGCACGGCGAAGTCCTTCAGCGCCATGGGCACCCCTCCGCGCACCGCTTGACGAATCCGGCGGGAGATGTCGATGGTGCCTCCCTCAGAGATGTGGATAGCGACGGCGAGGACGACGGCGCAGGCGATGGTGGCGACAATGGTGGAGAGGGCGGTAGTCAAGAACCCTCCCTCGCACGGCTGCTTTTGCATGGAGACTGGCCGCAAGCCTTGCGCCTTCTCACCTCCACCGCCGAATCCGCCTCTCCCACCTCTCAGCAAGTCGAAGACCTCTTCTCTCCTGCGGCGTTGCGCCATCGTCGGCGGGTGTGGCTGCGTCCCTCCCGCACCGCCGCGACTGTCTTTCCGCGGCTTCCCCGGCACCGCGCCACCGCACCAGTCACCGCGGTAGAGCTTCGTCTTCTTCAGTTTCCTCCCTGCGAAGGTCTACGCGTGCTGGCGCCGGCCGGTGCGCAGCCCGCAGCAACGAAGCACGGTCGGGAGTTTCTCCGTGCCGCCGCGGCGCACGAGGCGGCGCAGGGCAGGGCGCCAGGCGTGCCCCCGTCCTGTGTCGTTCGTCTGCGGCGACGCCTGTGGGTCCTTCAGCACCTCCCCCGCTCGCTGCCACCGTCGCTTCTCCGCTTTGAAGAGCCAACGCGTGTGGGTGGGGCTGCTGCATCTGTTGCGGCTACGGGGATGCGGGAAAGTGGACGACAGCGGCACTGCGCCAGCACGCCACGCCCCTATCTGCTGCGGTGTGACGCGCTGGAGAAGCTGCCGTGGTACCCGCTCTGCGTGCTGGGCCGCGTCTTTGCCCTCACCACTGACGATGATGGAAAGAGCGTGGATGGCCTGTCCAGGGCGGAGCGGATAGCGGAGGTACTGCGCGGTGCACGAGGGCACCTCCGCGCGGCTCTTTTCCTCTTCCACGCCGCTGACTACGCGTCTGTACTGGACTACGTGCATCTCTTGTTCGTGAGCCTTGGCAGCGCCATGACGGCACACCAGGTCGCGGTGCTCACCCAGCGACGCCGTGGTGGTGGGATTTGTACGGGCGCCGCTGCTGATGCTGCCTCGCTCCTCGAGAGCGCGTTTGCGAACACGGCCATCGCGCTCTTTCAGCCACCGGACCACGCAAGCTACGCAGCAGCAGAAGTAGGCGCGTTTGGTGTTCTGCGTGACGGCGGCGGCAACAACGGCAACGGCAGCGGCGCACAGATCGCATCTTCGGCACAGGTGGATGTTGCAACATGGTCCTCGCTGATGGGTCGTGTAGAAGAGACAGAAAAGGCCGTCTCCACCGCCACAGCAGGAGCAGCAAAAGAAGCGTCCGCCGACCCCGAAGAGGTACTTCTCCCCTCTTCTTCCGGGAGCGGGCCCGACGACATCACCGCCGTGCGTCGGGTCTCCGTGCCGACTTATCATCATCTGTGCACTGCTGCTCAACGGTGGTCTAACTACCATCGCTCTCTCTACTGCGAAACTCTCAGTCTTATCTGCGATGGGTCCGGGGTGGCGCTGCGCGAGATGTGTCGCGTGCTGCGCGGTGTAACACGGAACGACGGCGAGTCGGTGGTGGTGCTCGCGCCGGAGAGCGCGGCGGCGGTCGCGACGGCGGTGCTGCTGCAACGTCTCGCCCACCCTTCCCGCATCTCGCCCTCCCCGGTGCGAAGCGCGTCTTGCGGCGCCTCCTTCGGCGATGAGTACCCGGACCTGCTCTTTTTCGCCATCCCACACGACAAGGCTTTTGCCGTGGCCAGCTACTTCAAGGGTGTCTTTCACCCTTCTTTTTTCCAGCGCGTCCGCCCCGAGGCGCCGACCGCAGAGACAGCTTTAACGTCAACTGTTTCCTCTTGCTCCGCATCTTCGGCTGCTGCATCTTCCTCCGGCGCATGGCCGTCGTCAACGCTGGTGCTGCCGCCGGTGGAGTGGGAGTGCAACGCACTGGCACGCCTTGTGGGGCGCTCGTTGCGGCGCGTCGACCGCTACCCCACCCGCACCACCGAGGCCTTCTTTGCGCGTTACATCCGCGGAGACGCCTGTACGGTCGGCGCGGCGCCACCGCACGCGGACCAGCATTCCGTCTCCGGTGATGCGCGTCCTCCGTTGAGTGAACTACGAAGTCAGCACAGCGGCAACGGAGCCGTCTATGCGCCGCCGCTTGCCGTGGACGTGTACACCATTGATCTGCGCGCGGCAGCAGCGCACTGGTGTGACACGGCGAACACCGTGAAGAACGACGTAGAGCTCTCCCACGCGACAAGAAGACGAAGAGAAGACGAAGGACCGCAGGTGGAGGGAAAAGACGCTGTGGTCCTCGTCGCAGCCCCGCCCCTGCTACCGCACGGCCTACATGTCATCTACAAGCCGGCCCACGTGAACTGCACCCTGCACGCCCACTACGACTCCCTGGTCTACCCCTTTCTCTCGCGTGACCTCCCCTGGCGAGGTGGGGATCGGCATTTGCGTGAGAAGGAGTCGAAGGCGGCATCGGCGGACGTCATCGGTGTTGTTCCGTCGACGCGGCAGCAAGGGCTGGTCAACCGCATCGACGTCGGCACCAGCGGCGCGGTACTCGTTGCACGGGACAGCACATCGCTGCAGTGTGCGACGGACGCGATGCTGCGGCAGCACCTCACACGCAAGACCTACCGCGCCTTGGTGCAGCGATGGCCGCCTCTGTCAGCACGCCTTCCCGCCTCGCGGTCCACTTTGAAAGCCTTTGGCAGCAGCGACGGCGGCACTCCTATAACGACGCGAGGTGAGTCTCTCAACGACGCTTCTCTGTTCTCCACCGCACCTTTCCTATCGTCGCTTCCGTCGGCGGTGGTGTGTGCGCCGGTGTACGCTGCAGGGGGGACGGCATCCGCCATTCAGCATCAACAACAACAACAGCAAGAACCACAACAAGGGTATGAGCTGCACGACGGGCGTCCCGGCGAGCCGCACATCGCACAACGAAGCTCGACGCCCACCGCGTTTCTTGATCAAGATCCCCATCAAAGGTACAGCCGTCTGCATGCCGCCCTGCACGATCGGCGCCCCGCCGTTACACGTTATCGTGTGTTGGAGTGGTTTGAATCGACGGGGGTGGCCTACGTGCAGGTCGACCTGGACAGCGGGCGGCGACACCAAATACGTCAGCACTTTGCGCTGATCGGCTTTCCACTGGTCGGCGACACCCGTTACCACCCGGGGGTGATGGAGGGAAGGACAGGGACGTGCTTCGGTCTGCAACGTGCCGCACTGCACGCCTACTCGATCGAGCTACTGCTGCTGCCGCCGCCACAAGCGATGACCGCAGCAGCGGCGGAAGAGGAGCCGGGCCGCGTCGTGGTGCAGGTGCCGCTGCCGGTTGCCATGCAAAATGCACTGCGCACGTTGCGAGCGCTGGAGAAGGAAACGAGCAGGAGCAGACCTCCACCGACGTGACGGAAGCGGAAGGTGCGGTGGGCGTGTGAGAAGAAATGTAAGAGGAGAGGAGAGGAAGGGGGGCTGTTCAAACACTCGCGTTGGATAGCGTGTGTGGTCGTTGTTGATGTTCACAGAGTTCGCTGCGTTGAGAAGCGCATCTGTCGCCTTCAGCGTCGCAGCGGAACACCACATATATAAACGCGTACAACAGCATTAATAATAACAGAAGAAGATAGCAAGCAAAGGGCATTTACGTGCAAGCACTTCTTTCTGGGGAGCGTATCGCTGCAATGGGGACGTCGATGCATCCGAAGTCGCACCTGCGCATCAATGGACTGTTCCGCCTTGATGGGTGTTTTGACCACGTTCTTTTAGCATGTATGTATTCCTCGTTCTACCCTCTTCACTCCAGCGCTTTTCAAAAGAAACACGCGGAAAGCAGGAGAGCTGCGCCGTCCTTCCGCGACGGCAACGTCTGTACCTCTTCTTTAGTGATCACGCATGCACACGCACCCATACAGCGACGTCCTAGAATGACAACTTCACTTTCCGCCTCTCCGCCGCCCTCCGCTTCCAAGGCTGAGCACTGCCTTCAGAGTGCGCGGGCCGCGAAGGCAGCCGGCAACGCCGCCTTGAAAGCCAACGATCTCCGAGGTGCGTCCTTTCAGTACAAGAAAGTGTACCTCTTTGTAGCGGAGTACCTCCCCCACGACGTGGCGGGGCCCTCCACGCTGGCGTCGAGCACGAGCAGGGATGAGAGCAACAACGGACTTGTTCAGCTGCTGCAGCAGCGGCGCCCTCGCTCCCCCGTGAAGGCCCCCCTGTTGTCATCCGCGCCGCCGCCGGACATGCCTGCAGCAGCACAGCAACAGCAGCAGCAGGCAGAGCAGGCAAAAGAAATGATCGCGTTGTACGCGACGAGCCTAAACAACCTCGCACTGGTGCACTTGAAGCTGGGTCGATATCGCGAGGGCGTTGCCTGTGCCTCTGCGATTCTCGACGACTCGAAGCTTCGCGCTGCGCTGGACACCACGCACAACAGCGCGGATCCCTCCAAGAAAGCGGCGGCCCGACCGCCACAGCCGCCTACCAGCGACACACCAGCAGGGAGAGCGCTGCTGCGCCGTGCCTCGTGCTATGTAAAGTTGGCGGAGTGGGCCGCAGCGGAGGCGGATGTGGCGACCTTGATGCGCGCACACGCGGCGGCAGGCACGGCACCGGACGCGGCCTGCGTGCAGCTCACGGAGTCCATCCGACACGGTCGAAAGGCGGAGACGGAGACGGAAAAGAAGATGATGCAGCGCATGTTTTCGTGAGGAAGGAAGAAGGAAAGGAAGATGAGAAGCGAAATGGAAGTGTTTGACGGACGTATGGAAGAGTGTCTCGGATGCTGGTGCGCCGCGGGCAGTGTGTTTTGCTTGTGCTTGATTGGTTGGTTGGGTGGTGTTGTTCTCCCCACCCCCGCTGGCTGCGAACTCGTCGCGTGCGCGGTGCTCTCCCACCGCCTTTGGAGCAACTCACGTAAGGCTTAACGCGCTCATGATCCAAGAAGGGACGGTACGTGTGCAACGGCTGATCTGTTTCTTGGGGGGGAGGGGAGGGTAGTACTTTTCTCTACCTTCTTAGTCGCCTGGCCTTCGCTGCGTACGCGCCGTATTTCTTTTACTCATCTCTCTCTCTCTCTTTACCCTTCCCTTTCTGTGTACGCCGACTCATTTTCCTGCAGGATACTTGCATGCCTCTTTGACGGTGCGCAGGGGCAATAGAAGTAATAGAAAGGAAAAGGAAGGGCCCTTGCGAAGCCTATCTTCCTTTATCCTCCTTTATATATTATAGCTCGTTATCCGTTCCCTCGCACACACGCGTCGAGATGCAACGGACGCTGCGTTGTGCCAACATCGCGGCTCTTTACGAGTTCGTTGACAACAACTTTCTAAACAACAAGCGGCCCCCCATCCCGGGCGGCGCCTGGCCCCTCGAGAGCCTCCGCCGCAAGAGCCTCGCCGACCTTCAGCAAATCTGGCTGTCGCTCGTGAAGGAGCGCAATATGCTCGGCACCATCAAAGAGCACTACCTCAAGCACCAGGAGGAACTCGGTGCGATGCCGGCCCCGTCGCGGCTGAAGATGGTCGAGGAGTCGATGGACAACGTAAAGCGCGTGGTGCACGACCGCGACGCCGAGGCGACGGCGGCGGCCGTACAGATCTTTAAGGAGCGCCTCGCCAGAGGGGTGTACCGTTACCCGCCTGGACCGCCGCCGCCCCCCGGTGCGCATGACACGACGAGTCGGGTCAAGCTGACGCTGAGTCGCCGCGTGGACCCGGCGCGGCTGCGTGACCTGCTCGGCCGCTACGACGTCTTCGCGGACCACAAAGGCATCGTTGAGCTGACCGTGACGCTGCCGGAGGCGGTGCTGCAGCGGAAGCAGGATGCTGAGCAGCTGTGGCAGCAGTACAGCACGGAGAAAAGAGACGTGGAGGAGTACTACAAGTGGGCCGGCAGCGAGACAAGACCCGCAACAGCGAGCTTGTATGACTACGCGCTGGTCGAGCTCGCACCGGGTGTGTACAGCGGGGAATCCAACGCTGCAGCGGCGGCGGCGTCGGCTACTGATGCTGTCGAAGCGTCACCCGAGGCGGTGGGAAAGACGCCGACGTTGGGTGGTAGCGGCAGCAACGGCAGCAACGGTAGCAACGGTAGCAACGACGACGACGTTGCGGTAGTCGATAACGTGTTGAAGGCGGCGCAGATTCCCGTACCGCCACCGCAGACGCGTCCGCCGCCGCCGCGCAACCCGCTCGAGCATATTAAATATCAGCAGCGCTCCACCCTCAGCCGGGCGGTGCTGCAGTTCCACTACTTCCCCACCGTGACGGTGACGCCGCCGCGGTACAAGACCCCGGCGGAGGTGCCACGCCCGGTGCACCCCGACGAGATCGAAGGCCCGTGGGAGGTCCACGTGACCTACGACGCACCGGACGGACTGGACTACGTGCAGTCGCTCCAGCTGACGTCGATCGACGGGGCCACGGTGCTGTCGGTGGAGGCCGACGCAGCTGCAGCTGCGCTTCCGCAGCCGTATGCAGCGGTGGATCCGGTCTATCAAGAGGCGGTGAAGCGGGAGATGGCGCAGGAAGAGACGCTCATGCAGTGGCCGCACGTGCCGGAGTGGAAGTACGACTACGACGTGTACACCAAGAAACACCTGGCCGAGGTGGTGCAGTACAACTACTCGAACGTGGTCGACTACGTGGACCGCGAGGTGCTGCTGACGGGTCACTCTGTGTGGGAGTCGCCGATCGATATCGACTACACCTGCGGGGGTATGAAGTCGGTGCCGGCGCACGCGAAGAAGCCGACGCGGTACATGACGCACGGCCTGGGTGAGATTGGCGTGACGGATATCTAAATAAGAGCCAACGTTGCCTTTCTGTTTTCTTTTATTGAGAATGCAGCTGTCTGTGTGTCTGTCAGTGTGTGTGATTGGGTGGTTGTGTTGGAAGTGGACGAAACGGGAGTTGAGAGTGGAAGAGGGTTGAGCTACTTGGTCTCTGTTCCTGTTCTCAAAGGACTCTCCTTTTCCTCCTCTTCTCCTTCTCTCTTGTGTCTTTACGCGCGTTGTTTCACATTTTTTCTTTCTTGCGGGGTGTTGGCAAAAACGAGAATGACTCGGAGCGGCGGAAAGACTGTGTGTGTTTGTGTTTCCATTGGTGCTGGACCTACCGCGGTCGTTATTAGAAAAGAAGAAAATGAAGAACAATGCGACCCCAACGAAGCTCGCACGGGAGCCTTTTCTCTTCTTTTAAACCTTCTCTGCTCCTTTGTTGTGTGGGTGCGTGTGTGTGTGTTTTCTTTTTGTTGGGTAGCAGCGAGAGCACACGCAGAGAGATGATCCGTCGACTCACCGCAGTTACCCGAAGGACCAGCGCCGTCCTGGGCCCCACAAACCCCCACCACCTCCTCTGGTTCTTCCTCGTATCGTCTCCCTCTTACTTCGAACCTACCTCCCAGCATTCTAGTCGCACAACCAGCGTGTCCTCTCACGGCGAAGCACATCGCGTCCGTCAGCAGTGCCGTCTTCGTTTTCGTTGTTGTATATAGTTGTATATATATCCCCTCCCCTTCTCTCTCCTCTCCCCTCAGCATGGAGTCAAGCGATGAGCCGAGGGCCTCCGCCCCTGTTGTGAGCAGCACGAATCGTCAGCGATCGATTTCGATCATGGAAGACGAGGAACTCGCTGACCACGCCCCAATGCAATCGGCTGGTGGGCGCGGCAGGGACGCTTTCGCCTCGGTGCTGCCGCCCGACCACAGCGCGAGCAACGACCACAGCAGCAGCAGCGCGAACGCCTCCGTGACCGTCGCGCCCTCAACAGCGGCAGAGAAGCGGCAAGACGAAGTCCCCTCGCTGAACCCCACGCCTGATCGTGCATCTCTCCTCTGCAGCCCGGCGTACCACGCCGCCGCGCCCGGTGCGGTCGGCGCGAACCCGAGTGGAAGCCCGAACGGGCACACGCTGTCGTCGCCGTCCGGCCCCGGCAACCCTCCCGCGTCGTGGCGGCGTTCGTTGTCGCCAACCGCCTCTGTCGGCACGGCGCCGGGGGTCCTCGTTCGAAATAACTCCAACGGGGGCGGCACAGCAGCAGCAGCAGCAACAAACGCCTCCGTCAGCGTGGCTGCTTCAGCGGCGGCGGCGGTCGGTGCCTCCACGTCCCGGCAGCAGCGACGGTCCAGTCTAATGCACCGTCGGCCATCTTCTTCAGCGTTCGGCAGCCACGGCGCAACGCGCGGCGGCGGCGGCGGCGGTGGAGGTGCGTCACCAGTGCCGACGAACGTGAATGCCGGCAACGTCTACACACTGCAACTGACCGAGGACGACGGCGGGGTGGAGATGGGGGCGGCGCGTCCGCTGCTGTTGGAGGCGCTGCGCCTGCGTAACGTGTACAAAGGCTCCGATAAAGGGCAGCTGGAGGTGGGCGGCGGCGGCAACGCTAGCGGTCCAGGCTCCCCGCTGACGAACGGGCTGACCGCGCTGCAGCAGGTGGACGGTGTTTTCTACTGGACGGACGAGCGGACCCCGATCGTGTCGTGGGGACAGTTTATGTCGGACGTGATGGAGGTGGCCACCTGCGTGCAGCACCCGTCCTGCCTCTCCCTCGCCGCCTACCGGCTGCAGGTGCTCGAGGAGAAGTTCCATCTTCACCGGCTGTACAACGCGGATGTCGAGGAGAACGGCGATCGCTTTCGCCGCGGCGGTGGTCTCTACGCCAACTCGTGGCGCGTCGACAACTGCGTGGGGGCGTGGACGGTGATGAATGCGCATTGGTTGGTCGAGTACATTCAGCAGACCGTCGATGCCCACGGCGGGGATCTCGTGGATAGCGCGGATGTAAACACGATGGTGGGGGGTAGCGGCACCGGTGGAGGGAGCAGCCCGAGCGGGAACGGCCCCGGCGTGGCACCCGGTGGCGACCCGCAGACCCTGGAGCGCGTCTGCGAGCTGCTCGACTTTCCTGATCCGTACCTACTCACGGTAGAGGGTTTGGGGCTGCAGCCCTCCGTCAACCGCGCGCTGCCCTACTACGACGCTCTGGACCCGGCGCTGAACGGCAGTGGACGGAACAGCGCGGCGTTGCTGCGGCTTTTCCTCTCGATCCGCAGCAGCTCTCCGCAGAAGGGCGACTACCTGGCGGGGGCGGTGCTGCCCTCCCTCACCCGCAACGAGCTCCGCACCAGCTGCCCGCAGGCGACGGAGATGGCGCTGGAGATCACCGGGGTGCTGTCGCAGGAGTGGGAGCAGACGGCGACGTGGGTGCGCACCCACGAGCTCGACAGCTACCGCACGAATCAGTTCCAGATTCTCTTCCCTTTCACGAAGTGGTGCGACGGCGGCGGTGGCCGAGGGCCATACACTGCGCGGACCGCAGCGGCAGCAGGTGGGGGTGGGGGTGGTGGAGGCCCGCACGACAGCGCCGATGACGGCCCCAACGGGGCACCCGGAGACGGGATGGAAATCCAAGGGCTGTTCAAGTTATCGGGAATCGGCAACGCCGGCCTGGGTCACGACGCCGTCCCACTCGACGCGTCGCCGGAGGACGTCTTGACCTACGAAAACTACCAGCAGCTGCTCGATCACCTCTTCCTGCCTCTCTTTATGGCCACGCTGGTGCCGGAAGATCCGAAGTTTGTCGATCTCGCGTCGCTGCTGCAGCACACCGGCGCCATTGTCCTGTCCGGCGATGAGACAGCGAAGACGCGTGGTGGGCTAGGTGGTGGCGGTGGAGGCGGTAGAGGCGCGAGCGGCAGCAGTCACAGAGAAGCCGCGCGCGGTCGCCGCGAGGGCGACGGTGGCTCGCATGCGTGCTCCTCCTCCGACGGCACCGACCACGTCGACGCCAACGCAGGTCGTCGGCGACCGGCGGACGTGCCCTTCACCGAGCCCGTCCCCCTCACTTACATGTGCTACCACATATGGGCGAACCTGTCCTCCCTCAACGCGCTGCGCCAGCGACGCGGCCTCAACGTGCTGCAGCTGCGCGTCGTCGCGTCGAATGCGATGATCCCGAACACGTCTTCGCCGTACGACGCGAGCCTGCTGCTCCTCTCCTACTTGATTGCGGACGTGGTGGTGGACGCGGTGGCGCTGGAGAAACAGCCCGCGTTGCAGTACCTCTACGGACTCTCGCAGGTCGGCGTGACGATGTGTCCGATGGCGCGCGGTGGCCTCGGCATCACAAACCTCAGCGAGCACCCGGTAGCGCGCCTGCTGTGGCGCGGACTGCAGGTGTCGCTGTGCACTATCAGTCCCCTCTACTACCACTCCTCGCCGGAACCGTTGTTGGAGGAGTACACCGCCGCCGCGAAGTGTAACCGACTCTCCCCGACCGACATCAGCGAGCTGAGTCTGCACTCGGTGTGCATGTCCACCTTTGAGGACGAGGTGAAAGCCTCGTGGGTGGGGGCGGCTTTCCTGCGGGAGGGCTGGCGCGGCAACGTCGCGGAGCTGACGAGCGTGCCAACGGCGCGGCTGCAGCTGCGGCACGACTCGTGGACGGTGGAGCGCACCCTTCTCTGCGGGCCCACGCTGTCGGCGTCACCGTTCTCTGCCCCACGCTTGGGTGTGACCGCTGCAGCAGCAGCGACGGCAGCGGCTGCGGGGTCTGGCGACGCGATGGAGTTTACATCGGGCGGCCCCAGCAGACAGAGCAAGCAGGGCAGCACGACGAACCTGCGAGGGCGGGACGCGCCGGTGCCGGCGGCCGCGGTGGTGGGGACGACGACGGCGACAGCTCGCTACGGCAGCAGCACCGCTACCCCGCTGCGTCGCACCGCCAGTGCCGCTCGCCTTGGTGGGCCGCCCGGCTCAGCGACCACCACCGGGGCGGTGCAGCAGGCGTCGCCGTACACGGTGTTGGACCCCGCCACCAACTTCCCCCGGCTCTTCCTGATGGGGCCGTACGACCGTGACATCGCCAACGCGCACATCGCCCAGTCCCTCCACCGCGCGATGGACCTGCGGCATCAGTACAGCGCCCTGCCGCTTCCCCAGCCCCCCACGCTCCCGCCGTCCGAGGCGGCGATTGAGGTGGTCGCGTCGGGGATGGACGGCAACGAGGAGGAGGTGCGGAACAGCTGGCTGGCCGCCCTCATCCACGACCCGCAGGCCGTCCTGCCGCACCCTACGCAGTCGATGAGCTGGGCGTTCAAGAAGGCCTCGCCGGCCGCGGCCACCGCCGCCTCGACCACCACCGCGCCCGTCGTGGTGGCCGGTGCTGCAGGGCGCCCATACTTACACTTCGACGAGGACGAGTGGAAGTACAAGACGGTGGAGGGCATCATCGTGCCGCACGAGGTGCACCAGATCCCGCGGCTGCCGCAGGATATGTTTCACTACGAGGACTTCTGCCGGCACGTGCAGGAGATTCGGCTCTTGATCGACCACATCCGCGTGCGGGAGTTTGCCCTGCGTCGGCTGCAGCTGCTGGAGCACCGCTTCAACCTGCACGCCGCCGTGAATCACAGTTTGGAGCTGGGCAGCACGGCGGAGCGGGCCTCGCAGAACCGGGACTTCTACCAGTCCACCAAGGTCGACAACAACATTCGCATGGAGACGGGCATGACGGCCCGGCAGCTGCTCGCCTTCATTGTGGACAAGGCGACGCACAACGGCGACGATATCGTGTCGCACCCAAAAGGCAAGGAGCCGCAGACGCTGCGCCAGCTGCTGTCGGAGCTGCACATCAGCCCCGGTTCCTTGACGGTGGATGACTTGAACATCCAGGCAGGGGCGACCTCCAGCGACGGCGGCGCGCCGCACAACCCCTTCTCCGCCGAAGGCTCGCAGGATGAGCTGCTGACGCTACTGCTCAAGACGGACAACCAAATGAACGGCCGCTACTTTGCGGAGCTGACGAAGCGCACCTTCGAGGAGCTCTCACGCGATCAGCACACCTTTACCGAGAGCCGTCTCCCCGTCTACGGCGCGAGCGCCGGGGAGTGGGGGCTGCTGTCGCATTGGTTCGACACGCACGGCATGTCCTCCTCGCACAACCAGTGGGTGGTGCAGGTCCCGCGCATATACAGCTCCCTGCGCAAGGCCGGCCGCGTCGCCAGCTTCGCCGAGTACCTGGAGCACATCTTCGAGCCGCTCTGGCGCATCTCCCTGCACCCCAACAGCGACCCGCGTCTCTTTCATTTCGTCAACCACATCGCCGCCTTTGACTGCGTCGAGGATGAGCGGCAGCCCGACATGCCGCTCCACCGCGCTACCCGGGCCCCGCATGAGTGGACGTCCGAGGAGGAGCCCCCGTACAACTACTACCTCTACCACCTGTACGCGAACCTGCGCTCTCTCAACCGCTTCCGCCAGCGCCGTCGCTTCTCCGTCTTCGCGTTTCGTCCGAGCTGTGGCGAGGCCGGCAGTGTCGACCACTTAATCGGCGGCTTTCTTCTCGCGCAGAACATCAACTACGGTGTGCGCCTCGCCGACAGCATGCCGCTGCAGTACCTCTACTACCTTGCCCAGATTGGTGTGACGCTGAGTCCGCTGAGCAACAACACGAAGCTGGAGCTGAACTACCTGAACAACCCATTTCCTGAGCTCTTCCGCCGCGGGCTGCGCGTCTCGCTCGGCACCGACAGCCCTTTGCTGTACCACCACACCCAGGAGCCGCTGCTGGAGGAGTACTCCATCGCGTCGAAGATTTGGAAGCTGAGCCCCAACGACCTCTCTGAGGTGGCGCGCAACAGCGTCCTCCTCTCCAACTTCAGCGTCAGCTTCAAGGAGGAGAAGCTCGGGCCCCTCTACTTCCTGTCCAGCAGCGCCGGCAACGACGTCACCCGCACACACCTGTCCAACGTGCGGGTGGCGTACCGCTTTGAGGCCTACCACACGGAAGTCGGTTTTCTCGAGTACATCTCCGGCCAGCACTTTCACAAGGCGCTGCTGACGCTCGCCACGGAGGCGCAGTGCAAGCAGCTGTGCGGGGTAGCGGCGGTAGTGGTGGACAAAGGCGCCACCGAGGGCATGGCCGACGGCGAAGGAGACGCCAAGGCGAAGAATCTCACCGAACTCCCCGCACGACAAGGAGAGAAGGAAGGAGAGCGCAGCCCCACCAGCCACTCGCCACCGCCGGTGCGCGGCAATGCTATTCTCATCGACCCAACACCGAAGGAGGCGGATGTAAAGCAGCTGGAGCAGCAACGAGCGCGGATGCAGCGGCAGCTACGCGAGGTGACGGGCGCCGTGACGGATCTGCAGAAACAAAATCGTATGCTGACAGCGAAGCTCGGCGAGGAGAAGGAGCGGGACAACCAGGCAGCCCAGCTGCGCCGCCACCGGGTAGGAGATAAGCTGCGCGAACTGCAGGCCCTGCTCGACCAGAAGCAGGTCCAACCGAATGGAACGCCAGTGTCGCTGCTGTCGTCCCACGGCGAACCGACGTCGGCCACGATGCGCCGAGGTGGGCACGCTGCACAGCGAGGGGGGCGGAGCTCGGACACGGGGCCCGCAGCAGCAGACGCCGCGAGTGAGTCCTCTCGCTCTGCGTCGTCGCACCCCTTCGGTCCGTCACCGACGTCGTTTGGAAACGAAAGCTCGCAGTTCCCGACGGACGCCTCAGCAGCAGCAGCAGCGAGTCTAACCCCGCTGACACGCGGAGGTGATGGTGGCGGTCGCGGTCGCGGTCGCGCCGGCAACACGAATGTGGCGGCGTCAGCGGAGGGAGGTCTTTCATCCGTCGCAGCAGCCGTGGCAACAGCGGAGCAGAACGCCGCTTCGTACGCCGCCAGCGCCCCTCCCGCACCGGCCCTCTCCTCGCGCGACGTCTTCATCACTGTGCGGAGTCGAAAAGCGGTGCAGCAGGAGGCGACGATTGCGCAGACGCGGCAGCTGCTGGCCCACTCCGAGTCCTTGTGGCGCTCGCCGTCATCCGGTAGTGCGCAGAAGGCGGAGGGGATGTTGCCTCCGTTGGATGTTGCGCCGCCGTTGCAGCGCACGCGCTGGTCGCCTCCGCCCTCCGCGCAGGATTAAAAAGGGAAAAGGGAAAAACTGCGAAGGAGCGACGGGACTCCCCCGCGGGTGTGGAATGTGAAATTATATTTTGTTACTGTTGTTTTATCTTACCTGATGCAGCATACATTACTGTTATTGTTTAGTTTTTCCATTGCGTTGCGCGTTTCATGTATCAACCCAAAAATGGGCAAGCAGCAGTCCTTCGCTTCTTCCTATCTATTCCTCTGCCACGATGTTACTCACGGCGGCAGGGGGAGGGGGATGGGAGGGGGGGAGAGAGCACTCGCACGCCGCGCCCCAGTCTGAAGTGGATCCACGCTGCACGGCATGCGTCTCCTTGTTTTTTTTTCTTTCCTTGAAACCTGTATTTGTGCGGGGGGAGGGTCTGTCTCTCGTTTCTTCGTTGTTCCTGTTGTGCTGATGGC